TCCACCTCATTTAAGGAGTTGGTCTCCTATTTAATGCCCTGGCCCAATTTGGGCTGTCTACCCGACCAAGCCCATTCCTACCCCGTTTGTCCTATACCCATCCCATCCCGTGTGGCCCTCCCTTATATTTGGTTGGTTCTTCTGGAACCCTCCTATTTCTGCCTCTCCACCTTCTCTCTAAAAGATGACTCTTCTGGTGGTGAGTGTGAGCAAGCCTTTGGGCTTGGTGGTGATTGAGGTCTGAGCCGGTCCGGTTTTCTAACAATTGCTATAAAGAAAATGAAAAAGTTTTTGAGATAAATGAGAAAAGAAAGTTGACAAGGTCCAATTGAACGAAGGAAATATTAATTAAATAAAAATTAATCACATTTTTTGGAAAAATAAAAATAGTCATATTTTTGTCTTCTAAAAGTGTTGGAGAATATTTTAGTCATTTTTCCTAATAATATGAACTTTTAAAACAATTTTAAAAAATACCAAATATTTAAATATATTAAATGAAACTAGTCACGTTTTTGTCTTGCAAAAGTGTTGGGGATTATTTTAGCCATTTTCCCAGATAATATGAACTTCCTAAATAGTTTCATATAATTCCCGTTATTTAAATAAAGTGTTGCGAAAATAACTTTTTATATAAAATTTGGAATGTATATATTACATGTGCAAGTTTGAAATATTTATTTCACACTCCTTTAAAGTTTGAGATATTTATCTTATTTTCCCGTTTTTATTTGTCCAAATAGTTATACTATTAAAAAAATATACTCAAAGCAATTTTCCTTTCTTTTATGTTTCTCGCTTGTCATTACTAAGGATACCAACCGGGATGGACTCGGGCCGGGCCAACCGGCCCGGAACCGGATCGGCCCGCTACTGTGCGGGCCCAGACCGGCCCGGTTTGGCAGTAGTGCCCAGTTCGGGCCACCCGGCCCGGTCTTCAAGCGGTTCGGTCCCGGACCTAGAATTCAGTGAACCGACCGGCCGGGCCGGGCCCGGTCTGAGCCTCAACAAGAACATTTTAAAAAAAATTAAAATAATAGAAGGCTCCATAGCCGTTGGGAGAGCTCCCAAATGGCTCTATAGCCGTTGGGAGCATAGGAGGGGGGGTCTGGGGGTTAGGGGGGTGGGTGGGGTGGGGTATACAAAAAAAACTATTTATACTCCTATTTTCTATACATTTTTTACACCTCTTCTTCTACAACTCTTCCTACTCTCTAAATTCTCTATTCTCTCAATCTCTCATATTCAATCATCTTCATTCTTCATCTTCTCCAAATTCTTTCTACATATATATAATTTATATAATTATTATATCTACTTATATATTAATTATCTACTTATAAATATATACTTATACACATTCATATTATAATTCTTTACGCATTATATTATATATACTATATATAGTTATACATTATATTATATATTACTTATAATATATTTACACATTATATATTTATATATACTATATATACTTATACTCATTGACTTCTCGTTTATATACTATATTCTTTACACATTATATTATATATACTATATATAGTTATACATACATTTTATAAAAGTAGTTAATTGTTAGACTTCTCGTTTATCTATTAAATTACTTAATTGTTTCGTTTGTCATATTAATATTAGTTAAAGTAGTTAATTGTTTCATTTGTCATATTAATATTAGTTAAAGTAGTTAAAGTTAATTGTTTCATTTGTCATATTAATATTAGTTAAAGTAGTTAAAGTTAATTGTTTCATTTGTCATATTAATATTAGTTAAAGTACTTAATTGTTACATTTCTCATATTAATATTAGTTAATTGCTACATTGCTCATTAAAGTAGTTAATTTTTACATTTCTCATATTAGTTAATTGCTACATTGCTCATTCAAGTAAAAAAAAGTAGTTAATTTTTACATTTCTCATATTAGTTAATTACTTAATTGCTACATTTTTACATTTCTCATATTAGTTAATTGCTACATTTGTCATTAAAGTAAAAAAAAGTAGTTAATTTTTACATTTCTCATATTAGTTAATTGCTACATTTTTACATTTCTCATATTAGTTAATTGCTACATTTCTCATTAAAGTAAAAAAAAGTAGTTAATTTTTACATTTCTCATATTAGTTAATTGCTACATTTTTACATTTCTCATATTAGTTAATTGCTAATATTTGTTCAATTTTAAAGATGGAGCGTGGTAGACATTCTGTAGATGTGGGTAATCTCCAACGCAACCGCAAGAGGGAGATTGCATCGACTCGATCTACTTCACACAAAGGCGAAGGTAAAGTGCAGGCCGAGTCTTCTTTTCAAAGTCGAGATGATTTTGAAACGGATTACCAACGGCGAGATGATATGATGATGTCCGACGAGCAACTACAACACCTATTGTCCCAAAATGATCCACGTTTTGCAGAAGAACAACAATTCCCGACAACCATCGATGAAGAGGAGCTCGAGGATGACGATGCGGAGGAGGACGCGGGGGGCGACGGGACTCCGGATGATGAGCAAGAGTTGGAGGACGAGGGCCGTTCAACGACTACAACCCAAATTGGTAAGAAATCTAAATCTCCTATTATTGAAAACAATTATACAAAATGGAAAGACGAAAAAACCGAAAAATGGTACGCAAGTTGCAATCATTGTAAGAAAGAGTTTAGCTTGGGAACTTCTGGCGGATACGGGAGTCTCAAAAGGCATCTTCAGTCCGCCCACTTTGTGGAGTATGCGAAAATAGACAAAGGCAAGGGGAAGCAAACACAAATATCGAGGTTTGCAAATTCTCAACCCTTTGATAATTTTTCCTATGATGATAAAAAACATTTGACTGGTATGTCTCATTTAATTGTTGAAGAAAATTTACCCTATATTTTTTCTGAAAGTCTTGCTTTAAGAGATTATGCTCAAGGTACTTTAAATCCTCAATTTAGAAATTATAGTCGCAAAACGATTAAAAAAGAAGTTATAAGGCAATATAACTTGGAAAAAGAAAAATTACAAATATTTTTCGCAAACTTTGATGGACGTATTAGTATTTGTAGCGATATATGGGAGGATACTTATCATCATTTATATTATTTGGGTCTTACTGCACATTATATTGATGATGATTGGAATATGCATAAACGTGTTCTTGCTTTTCGTGAATTCAATGATCGTCACACTGCTGATAATATTTATATTCTCATGGAACGTATTTTAATTGAGTATAATTTGATTGATAAGGTGTTTGTTGTAGCTTTTGATAATGCTAGTAATAATATTGCTGCTATACCTAGATTACGTGAATTGTGTGGTGCTTCTACATTGATGGGTAGGTTTTTTCATCAACGTTGTGCATGTCATATTCTAAATTTGTGTGTACAAGATGACTTAGCGGCATTAGGAAATGCTTTGGAGGTAGTGAAGGGGGAATTAAATTGATTTGGGCTAGCACTCAACTAAAAATGCAATGGCGGCAATATTTGAAGGATAGACGTGTCAATTATTGTGCTTTTCCTAAAGATTTGTCTATTCGTTGGAATAGTACTTATAATTTAATTCAAGTACTTGTTAGATATAAAGATCATTTTCCAGCTTTTTTAAGACAAACTTGTAACTATATTATAAACCCGGCTGACATCGACACTTGTGAAAAAATTGTTAATGTTTTGGCCTATTTTAATAACGCAACTCTAACTTTTAGTCATGTTTATAAACCTACCGCAAACGAATTTTTTGTTGAAGCTGTTAATCTCGCCGGCGCTTTTTGTGAATTTTCCGAAGCCACTTACGTTAGTTATTTTTGTGATTTCATGAAACAAAAGTTTTTAAAATATTATTCACATATTCCGCATATATATGGTATTGCATTTGTTCTTGATCCTCGTTATAAACTTGCTTACTTGGCAAATTGTATAGATTACTATTATGCTTCTTTTTTTCCAACTCAAGAGTTCGATGATAATCCCATCGACCCTAAACAATTGTATAATGAATTTCATGCACAATATGGTAATGCACCCCCTCCCATGCAACGAACATCTTCTTCATCTAAAGGAAAATCATTTTTAAAATCCACTTTTGGTTCTCTTTTGAAAAAAAGTAGAACAACTCCCGCTACTGAACAAAGCTCAGGTAACGAGCTTTCTTTGTATCTAACATTGAATGTTGATTATGAAGTTGGTGATGACTTCGATGTTCTTAAGTGGTGGAAGGAAAATGAAAGAACATTCCCGATTTTATCAAAGATGGCTAAGCAAGTCCTAGCAATGTCGATATCAACCGTTGCCATGGAACAAGAATTTAGTGCGGCCGACAACGTCCTAACCGATTATAGAACGAGGTTGAGCCCGAGCTCTCTTGAGACACTAGTTTGCTTTCACGATTGGTTGAAGGCCCAACGAAGAACTGAAGAAATTACCATCACTCTCATCCGCCACTTTATGGAGGAAACAACCGAAGGCGGAGATTCTGATTGATTTTTTATTACAAAATGTATTACTACCTCCGTTCCTATTAAAACTTCCAAATAGGTTTGGCACAGAGTTTAAGATAGTGGGTATTGTGTGGTGGAGAGTTGTGCAGAGGAGAGAGAAATGTGTAAGAAATGTTGTGAACCACAAATTCTTTACTAAAAAGGGAAAGTGGAAGTTTTAATTGGAACGAACGAAAAAGGAAAGTTGGAAGTTTATTTAGGAACGGAGGGAGTACATTTTTTAAATTCATCCTAATTCTCAATTGTACTTCTTATTTGAAATAAATATACTTGAATTCGAATATAATATATTGTAATTGTAAAAAGAATTATTCTAATAATATAATATATAATAAAAAAAATTAAAAGGCCCGGCCCGGCGGGCGGCCCGGCCCGTGAACCGGGCGGGTGACCCGAACCGAACCGGACCCGGGGTTATCCGGGCCGGTTCCGGGCCTGCCTTCCGTGAACCGAGGCCCGGCCGGTTCTAGGCCTGAACCGGACCCGGCCCGAACCGAGTCCACTCTTCCGTGACTCATTACTCATGCAATAATCCTCATAATATATTTAGGACTACAAATACATTTAAGTGCTACGTCATATCCTTTCAAAAAAAAGTGCTACGTCATATTTAACAAATATACTATCATATAAATTATCACACATACTAAAAACATATATAAAAAGAAACAAAATTAATTACAGCAGCAGAGGAAAGCAAGTTGGAACCCTGAAGAAGTTGTGGCAGTCAGCAGTAAATCCAAAGGTAATTACTCTATTCACCTCTTGAAAAGAGATGCTGCAGAAATGATATTCAAATCCTTCCTTTTGACTGAATATGAAGATGAAGATCAACACAACTGGAAATGAAATCTACAGCTCTTCCCTGGGTGGGATGTGTTTCTGGATTTCTAAAGCAATCTGTTCCTGCAGACTGTGACAGTTAACATTGCTCTTTTTGTGATACGCTTCTGCACTGAACAGTCCTTCATAGTATGCCTTCCACTGTAATGGCTTTCTGCACCGTCTGATCAAATCTAGGCTTTCATAGTTTCCTCTTAGAAGCTGCAGAACCTGTTCTGTCAACATCAGTTTGTACCATTAATGTCGTTGTTAAGACTTAGAGTTTCATGGTAAAAGGTAGCTTCAATCAAATGTCTTTAATGTTGCTTTGTTTTTTCTTTTAATATTAATGTTAAGTGACAGCATTCCTGCAAGATCATGCATCCTTAGAGCAACCAATCTTGTTATTAAGACTAGAGCTTTCGTTCTATAAGATTAAATTAACCGCAAGTCTGATTCATTTAATACATTGGTTTTGTTAAATCATTCCACGTCGGTCAAATGCACCATATGTCTTTTCGTCACTCCTCATATGAAGCTTAAACATTAAGCCTTAATATGGCTCCATATCAGAGCCTATAAAGTACTCGTTTAAACAAGAACCGTCATTCTGATAAGGCTCAACGATGAATACAGTATTCCAAGTTGTTATGCTCCAACTACTCATACTATCTTGCGGGGTGGCCTTTCAGGATGAATCATCCTAGTCTTAATTGGGTTGTGTCTAAGATTAATCCTATTAACAATATATGCATTTACTGTATCTGCACTTGCCTGACTGATATTAGGACGCCTAATTGGAGATTGTTGGACACACAAAGAAGCAGCCAACACCATGAGATTCATCTGTAGCAAGCTGTAGTTGTCACCTAGTGATCCATCGGCAAGCTCTCTGATCCTGTTCTTCTTTAGCAGCGGTTTTGCCTGACATATCAATAATGAAAGCTTTAAATACCATCAGGAATACGATGGTAGGGCATATGACGAATATATATGGGGCATACCCAAATTACAAGGCTCTGCTGAGAGTAATCAAGGGCTCTACGCCCAGTAATCAGCTCTAAAAGAAGCACACCATAGGCAAACACATCTGTTTTTTCATCTACTATGCCATGCATTAGAAACTCAGGCGCAAGATACCTGAAACCGCAATGTTTTACTTCAAAGTTTAGGATATGAGGTGAAAAGCTACTACCAAACTGGAAAAGTGGGATATATGATATATGGTTTGCTCTTACTACCCAAATGTCCCTTCAAACTTCATGACATTTAAATGAGTCCACCGTTCTGGAAGCCACTTTGCAAGTCCAAAATCACATATCTGAAATAAGAAATGCTCTATTTGAGATTCTCCATACTACAACAACATCCAAGCTTTATTCCCAAAATTTGAGATTCTTCATCTTGTAAAAAAGGAGAAATGTCATATTTCCTCAATGAGTTTTTTTTTATTTTAGAAAACCCTCAATGAGGTTTTTATGAACACTAATATATGTGTTAGAATAATTTTGGCCTTTTGGGCCTAACTCAACTCTAAAAGATGAAAAAAGTGTTTCATCTAGGACCCAAATTATTGCTGTTGGTAGGATTGTAGGATTAGTTTTGTTACTATGTCACAATTAAGCTTCAGCTGCTACCCTTAAGAGCTCTCAAGAAGTGATGATTATATGACACTCAAATAAGTTTATTTCTTCATATTGAATTGATGTGAACACCTATCACCAATATTAATAGCATTCTCAATACTAGAGGACAATGCCACATGAACACAAAGAACAAATGGAAAAGAAATACGTAGTACTAGATTACTCATTGAAAAAATTTATAAATAGAAAAAATATTTGTTAGGCTAATGATGTGCCCAACTTATCGCTAAAAGTTACAAAATTATTTTACAAGAGACTCATAGCTATTGATAGGAGTGTAGAAGTGGTTTAGAATTTAGATGCCATGGTAAGGAATAAGCTCAGGTTCAAACCAAAAGAGCTCTCAAAAAGTGAAGATTGTCAAACACATACTAAAAGTTCTATCCATTCACATTTCGCTGATGCAAACACCCATGGGAAACATGAAAAGCATTTTCAATATTAAACGATAATGTCACCTGAAAAAAGCGCTAGTGGGAAATAAATACCTGAGGCTCAAAGTCCTCAGTAAGCAATATATTAGCGGCTTTAATATCTCTATGTATTATTCTCCTTTGACAACCCTCATGGAGATATTGTATCCCCTTAGCGGTGCCTAGCGCAACCTTATACCGGATGTCCCATTCTAGTTTCTTCTTTGAAACTGTAGACCACAAATATATATGACCATTTAGTATAACAAAGAACATACATAAAAGGAAAGTGAGAGAGTTGAAAGATGATCCACAGACCATGAATAACAGAGGCTAGGCTTCCGTGATGTGATAACTCAAGTATGAGAAAATATCCGCCTTCAACCCCATAGCCAATCAGCTTAGCAGTATTGGGATGGTTGACATGAGCCATGATCCCAATCTCTGATAGGAAATCTCCTATTCTCTCTTCGGGCTGTCCTCTTGTCAAACGTTTGACCGCAATGAACTGTCCATCACGCAACTGCCCTCTGTGCACCTCAGCATAACCGCCTTTCCCAATTAAGTTTTCTGCGCATAATAATAAGAGTATGATGATTAAATGTTTGGTGAAGCACTAAAATCAAGAAACTGCAAATTGTAGCTTCTTAATTTGAGCCTTTCGAGTTGTGATATTTATTGATACAAACCCAGTTTCCCTTTTTCTTTAAAATCATTTTAAACAAAATGCATCTTTAATAAAGACACCCAAACACTCTAAGTGAAATATCTTTCTCAATTCACAGCACTCATAACCAAAAATCACGTGTTCAGAAAACCTAAAGTTTTCAAATTGCTTACTCGTAAGTTATCCCACTCTATGCAAATATAAATTTACAGACTCCATATATAGTCATGTACTACTCCTTGTGTTAGGTTAACCATTTAGAATTAAAACCTCAAGTCTATACTTAACCAAACAAATACTTTAGAATTCTTTAGCCCTTTTTATTTTAAAAATAATAATAATTTTTATAACCTTTATATAGCTATAAAGAAAATGAATATGAAAATTATATAAGAATACATGACTTATATTAGTTAAAAGAAAATAAGCCATCCCCCATCCTCCCAGAAAAACCCAAACAAAACAAGCCCTCAAATAAAATATTACTAGCCTTGGTGAAAGTAGTTGGTGGCAATATGGAGTTCAGAGAGGCTAAAGTTCCTCCAATAAGGCTTGAAACAGTTGAAATCACCACCCATAGCAGAATGATGCAGAGGATCAGAAGCACTGCAAGCTGTCTCCTTCATGCTGCTACTCAATCTTTTTGAAAGTTTGAAAAAAGAAAGGGAATCCAATCTACCCAAATGCAGCTTCGGCTTAGTTCTACTAAACATTTGAGCAAAGCCCCCCCATTTTGAAGTACTCTTTGTCTCTTTATCAGCATCCAATTCGGGATTGCTGTTCTTTGAAGAATCTGTTTCGTATTCTAAACCGTTTAAATAGTCCTCAAGAACAGTGTCTGGGGAGTCCGCATTCCCACTCCTTTTTTTCATCTCAAGAACTTCTCACTTCCCTACAGAAAACACCATGTCAGAACCAAATCTTGTGCTAAGATACAAAAACTGTATCAGGAAAAAAACCTTGTAGGAGCAAATTACTCTTTGAGTTCATGCACTAAATGTTAAATCTTATCCCCTGATCAAATAGATGTTTTGAGCTTAATTAGTCCCATACAAGACTAGATTTGTATACTTACCTTTAGTATAACCAAAGTGTGTAATACAAACACTCACTAACTTACACACACATACATATCCCCACTCTCTCTCTCTCTCTCTCTCTCTCTCTCACACACACACACACACACACACACACACATATATATATATTTAATTTTTTAAAGTGATCGAACACAAGATTAAATGGAGTTAGGAACTCTTTACTTCAACTTATTTCAGTCATAGATAAGACAAGGCTAGACCAAACTTATAAATCAGTCTAGAGAAGGCAAGACTTATATACCAATAAACACACATACATCAGACCCAATACTAGACCAGATGAGTTCAGGCCAGAATAGACCACACTTACAAAACACTTTAAGAGACTAGACCAGACTATTAAATTTCAGTTCAAATGATTGCCCCCTACTGAACTACTTCATAAGTTACTTGGTTCAAATGAAGTTAAAAGATATGAAATCAATCGACTAACTAATTCTATATAGCGGTTTATAACCTCATGTGGGACCCATAAGTCATTTCATCCAAATATCATTACAGATGTGATCAATTAGCTAGTCAAACCAAGTTTTTTAAAATTTTGTACATTTTTCTTCATTGCTGCTGAAACTCCAAACACTCTTCTGTAAGTGAACTGCCGGGTTATACCTAAAGAATCATAAAAATGAATGACTATATGACTCCGCAGGGGTCCAATAAAATTTTTGATTGGAGTGAACATGAAGACCAGTAGACCACTATAGCTAGCATAACTTCTCAATTTCTCATAACAGTCATAAGCTCATAAGTGGCAAAAATCATAAAAAAGAGAAGCATTTCTGATTTCTACAGAGTAATAAACAAAAGATGGCTTACATGAAAAAAAAAACAGAAAAATCCAGAACCCATAACATTAGGACTTGGAAGGGACAAAATCAGCAGAAAGATGTAAATTTAGGCAAGCAAGAAGATTATGAATATTCATACATACCCAGATGTTCAATCATGCTCTATGATGGTATCAGAAGATTCCTTATTCCCATACAATTCAGAAAATGGTATGGACACAGAGCTGAAAGGAGCAGTGGAAGACCGACAAATTCATTTTCCTTTACAAGAGAAAGTTGTGGACCTTTTAATGGCGTCCGAGTAAGTTGGGGAAAAATATGAAGTTTGGATTCTACTCTTCCAGACTCTCAACGGTTGTTTGGCTCCCTTCCTCTGGAAGCTGACAACCGCACCCACCTCACCAAACACAAATTTTTGACGGACAAAAGAAACAACATAAACATAAATTATTTACTCCTCTGTTCCCAAAAAAGAATCTTGATACAGTAATACATGAATGTAATTCGTTCTAGACCAGATCAAATCAGACCATATTTTTATTATTATTATTATTATTATTATTATTATTGTTGTTGTTATTGTTATTATTATTGTTATTGTTGTTGTTATTATTATTATTGTTATTATTATTATTATTATTATTGTTATTATTATTATTACTCCGTATTATTATTATTATTATTATTATTAGTAGTAGTAGTAGTAGTAGTAGTAGTAGTAGTAGTAGTAGTAGTAGTAGTAGTAGTAGTAGTAGTAGTAGTAGTAGTAGTAGTAGTAGTAGTACTGAGTGGGAAAAGGCCTAGGCGTCCAAGTAAAATTTGAGGCCTTTATGCAAAAAATATAAAAAATAAAATTTCAGACCAGACCAGACCAAAACAGATCAGACCAGACCAGACCAGACCAGACTAAAACAAACTAGACCAACAAATTACAGTCCAAGTAAAAACATCCTATGAGTGTATCCTCACAAATCATATTATTATCAAATAACAATTCTATATATGTTTTTCCTTATTCAATGATTTTATTATTTGTTTGGTAATTTTTTTCTTTACATTATTAAGGAAAACGTCTAGATGTAGATATAAAATGTATGGAGTGCTTTGATAGATTTTTGATAGCCTTTTGAAACTATTGGAGCTGCTTTGACACCCATTTTTTGTCATGCCTTATGGCTGTTTTTGGGGTGGATGACTAACCTAAATTGGTTAGTTGTCAATTAGATGGGATAGGGTGTCCAATTGTTTGGATTACCCATAGTTTTGATATGTCCATAGATTGTACATATGCACTTTTGATGATATATATATTTACATTTCATCAAAAAAAATGTATGAAGTATAAAGTATAGAGATCCTAAAAGGATTGATTGAGAAATTTACCAAAATAAGACTAAACCTTATGAAAATTGCAAAAATAGGACACTCATGTTTCAGCTAACGCGCATAGGACTAATTATGCGCTAAAATGCCAAAAATGACCTTCCTAACCTCATTCACGGTTACACCCATTCCATTACGGAAATTCTCGGTTTCCAAGTTTCCATTATCATTGCTGCCGAAAAAAAGATTCCAAAAATTAAATGAGGATTTATTGGGAGACTTACCGTTGAGAGCTTTTCATAGAAGAGCCATTCAGTCGACATAACCTCGTTTCAGTTCAAAACTCAGAGTCTGTAAAACTTCTACTTAGACGACACTTCAAGGAGAATCGCTTAGTTGAGCAGATTCACTTCGTTGAGGATAGTTGAAGGTCGAAGCAATGGAGGACAAAGCCATGGATTTATCAAATACAGATTCCGTCAGAATTAATTCTGAAATGGCATGTACTTATTTCTTATAGGAATACCAGAAATTTAATGTTGTTTGACGGTTAATGGAGTTCCGAGTAAATTTAGTGAATGTAAATAGGTCTTAAATTAGCCGCGAAAAATCTCGTATGATGAATACTATGGCAATTGGAGTAAATTAAATGACATGTTTAGCCACATCTGATTACATCATCGTGTTGTTATATAGTGACATTGTTAGCATATATGAATAAACATGAATATGTAGGCATTTTATATGGATGTGACATTACATGAATATATGGTAATACACTGGCATTGTAAACATATATGAAAACTATCATCACATTTTGCGTTAAATAAAGAAGAATATGTTGGCATTTTATATGAAAGTGACATTCCATGAATATGTGGTAATATACTGGCATTCTAAGCATAAATGAAGATTGTCGTGACATTCTACGTTAAATACAGAAAAATATGTTGGCATTTTATATGAAAGTGACATTCCATGAATATATGGTTATATAGTGGCCTTCTAAGCATATATGAAGATTGTCACATGACATTCTGCGTTAATTAAAGAAGAATATGATGGCATTTTATATGAAAGTGACATTCCATGAATATGTTGTTATATACTGGTATTCTAAGCATATATGAAGACTGTCATCACATGTGTTATGTTGAAAGCAAAGTAACATCACATTGAATTACAATTTGAGAAACCGATGCATTAACGACAGTTTAGTGAATTCTTATTAGATCATATGGTGGCATTTTGTATGAAAAGTGGCATTTCAATTGTTATTAGATTTATGAAGAGTTATGAAACTGAAAAATTAATAATTTTAATAATATATATTACCATCTGCTTACTTACATCATTTGATTAACACTGAGTTATGCATTATGTATTGAACCGATGATAAAATAGTTTACATACTGATTAAAATGCATATATTTTTGTGAACTTGACAGACAATAATAAGAGCTTTTAAGAAGTCAGTGTTAGTGAAGTTGGAAAACTTGTGTGTCAACTCTTACTGCAATGTTTTTGAGGTTCTTAAGAAAATAAAGTCACATCTAAGCACAGAGGAATTGACAGAGTTCAGAAATAGTGTTTTGGTTGGATGTTAAGAATAGAAGACATGCCTTGGATCAGTGGACAATTGCTTTTGGGACTGATCGGAAACTTTGTCACTGAAGTTAATGGAAACACATATAACAAGAGGGAATGACAAAAAGACGGGGGTTTTGAACAGGCCATGCAAAAAGACGGGACTTCCTTTTAGGGTACTAAAACACGAGATTCGGAATACACAATTCCGAATGAATTAGGTTGCCTTGACATTTTGATTCTGAACTTCGAGAGCTGATTATTTTTTTAAAATGCCACTTCCAATTCGGAAGTTGGAATCCAAATGAATAAAAAGTCAACCCCACTATTTAAAATGACACTTCCAATTCAGAAGTTGGAAATCCAAATGAATAAAAAGCTGACCATCTCACATTTAGGCATTACCCTGCGATATAGTTTTCTTAAATTTATTATTCTATGTACACATTTTTACTATAAATTAAACTCAAAGTTGATAATGCTGGTGAGGTTGACTAAAGAGTTCCACACTCTTCACTTATTTCACTGAAAGGGGGTCCAATTTATTTATTAATTAAAAATAGGTTTATATCAATTTAATTTGTATGACTAAAAAAAATTAAAGTAGCATTTGGAACTTCATGATCCGAATGGGATAACAAAAAATTAAAGAAAGTTGATTTGGAAAAGCATCTTCCGAATGGATTTAAAAAAAGTAAAAAAAAGTTTCGGAACATCTGTTTCCGAATGGATTAAAAAAAGTAAAAAAAAAAATGTTTCGGGACATGTGTTTCCGAATGGGCATAGTTGCACCTGAACCCCTAATCTATTCGGAAGATCTGTTTCCGAATTTCGTATTCCTAGAAATGCCATGTTTTTTCCCGTGTTTTTGCCTTCCATGTTCACTTTTTCCGTGTTTTAAGAAAACTTGCACGTCAACTCTTACTGCAATGTTGTTGAGGTTCTTAAGAAAATAAAGTCACATCTAAGCATAGAGGAATTGAAAGAGTTCAGAAATAGTGTTTTGGTTGGATGTTAAGAGAATAGAAGACATGCCTTGAATCAGTGGACAATTGCTATTGGGACTGATTGGAAACTTTGTCACTGAAGTTAATGGAAACACAGATAACAATGTCATCAGGTTTCACATTAAACACAGTGTCATCCGTTTTCAGAAGAATGATCTGGAAACAATGTTTGCTCTAAAGTTTGGAGGTGTGAAGCCAAGTATTTCAGAAGATCTTGAAGGAGATATATGGAGAAATTATCTTGGAAGCAAGACAGTTGTGACTCGTGCAGATATTCAGAATGCATTGAAGAGTTATCAGAGCACTGATGAGAGCAGACTGATAAAGGATGGAGTGAAGCTGGCACTACTATACATACTGTCAAATTGTCTGTTTGGGAATCAATGTGCTAGACCAATGAAGGCATACTACATAAATCTAGTTTATGATTTGAATGCATTCAATGATTATCCATGGGGTGATGACGTTTGGAAGCACTTAGTTAGCAAGGTCAAACTGAGTTGTGAGGCACTAGATAAAGGAAAAGGAGATAGAGTGACATTCTCTGGCTTCATGGTGGCATTCCAGTGATGGGCATTTGAAACTTTTCTTGGATTAGCAAAGGCTGGTTTGTGCAAGGTCACAAAGGGGACATGACACATCATGCCCAGGACTCTAAAGCGGGAATTTAAAAAAAAAAACTTACACCGGAGGTGCTTTGCGAAATTATATTCAAGAATGACAAGGTATTTTATTGATTAAAATGTAAGTTTTTAAATATTTATGTACACACATTGTTTACTAACATGGTGTATTAGTTTAGTTTGAATGGACACATATTGTCCAACTGCAAATGTGATTGCTATAATTGAAGAATGAAATGAAATAAATGAGGAGGTAATGGACCTTGTGATCCACAATGTTGGCAGAGTAGATGCTGAAAAGGCAAATGATGTTGTAGCAAAAGGAAAAAAGAGTGATGAAGACCAGAACGGTCAAAGGGAGAACAACAAAAGCTGGGAGGGGCAGTGACAAAGCAATTGAATCTCAAGAAGGACCTTCTAAAAGAACAAAGCAGACTAGGGTGGAAAAAGAGAGTGATCATGAGTCAAGTGAGCAAGAGAGTGATGAAGGAGAAGAGACTGAAAGTGATGATTCTAGTGGTAGTGGACATGAAGGAGAGAAGTATGTAGTTTTCATGAACAAAGACAACAAGAGTATGAAAAAAAACATGAGAAAAAAAGTCAAGGAGACTCCCATATTATTGACAGAAATGAAAAATATCAAGAAAACTCAAAATCTTCCCCTGCTAAGTGCCCGCCCAATATCCAACGGATGAGTACACTGTCGTAGGGTTGCTCTGATACCCCGTCGGCTGCGGACCGAGCGCTCACCTTGGGTGTGGTTGAGCGTCGCCCTCAGGTCGTCGTGGCCTGACAACCAGTTCCGAAGGTCCCCCCCCCCCCCCCCCCCCGCCTTGTCCGTGGTTGTCGGGGCACGCTGGCGGCTAGGCCGGGTGGATTCCTCGATGTGGACTGAGACATGGTCACGTCGGGACGCGATTTCGGCCATCTTCCTTTGTGATTCCTACTCGAGCGAGGTGAGAGACAATAGAAGGCTCTTAATGAAAGTACCAATGTTGGTCCAAAATAGGACGCTCGTAGGCTTTTAGGAAAGCTACGTAAGAACACTCAAGCAGGAATTAGGAAAGTACGAATATGGAAAGTTGCAAAGGGAATTCAGTTGCCAGAAACAACTTCCCTTCATTTGAAATTCGAATTGCCTTTTATAGGCGTATACAAATGGTAACTACCAACTACAATAATGACTAATTAATTACAACATTAATACGGAATTTAATACATACTCTCTCCAGTCCTAAATAAACTTCACACTTTCCATTTTGGGTAGGTCCAAAATAAACTTCACACTTCTTTTCCCTTCCTTATTTGGCAAATTATCTACATCAAAACAGTGCCAAACAGTGTCAAACAGTGCCAACAGTGTCACAACAGTGTATTCTACAGCAAAGTCAAATTTATTTCCTTAATTTGTGTGAAGTCAAAGTGTGAAGTTTATTTAGGACCGGAGGGAGTAATTAATAGCGCATTGATTGCCTTGGCCGTTACTATTCCTGACTGGCAAGTTGGCCTGGCCGGCTGGCCAGACTCTTGAGCTCCCTCCTGCTGGACTGGGCTGTGGGCTCCCCGCGGGGCTGGAAGGCAGGCTCCCCGCTAGGCTGGAAGGCGGGCTCCCCACTGGGCTGGGAGCAGGCTGCTGACCGAGCTGGAAGACAAGCTATCTCGGGCTTCCATTCCTTGATGGGCATGATCGGTTGGACCAGCTCGATCTTTGGGTCGCTGGGCCTGAGCATGTTGGTCCAAGTTCGGGGCCTGGGTCAATTAGGCTCTGGGCCTAGTCAAAAATCACAGGATTAATATTGCAAATATTTCGATTTAACTAGATGTCTAGATGCTTTGAGAAGTTTAATTTGATACTGTATCATTTTGATCGATCTTGAGTGTTCTTTTAGGAGGACACCAACTTGTACAGATTAACATAGAAGTTTAGCATCATGCATGTCATCATGGATTGCATTATGTGTTGATTGGAGTATAAGTTGGATAAACTTTTGTTTGATTTGATAATGCAAAAGATTGATTGCGTGTAATGCAATTAATTACTCCGTATCTTTTTAGCTATGCAATCTTATCGTTCGTCTTCTTTTTTTTGTTAATCATATTGATTGCATTGCTGTATTTCTTGGTCCAAAAGGTGGAATCTCCCACCTCAGGAGTCCCTCATACCCCGACCCAACAGGATTTTTGGGAGGATGTTAATCACGGTGACTCAGTCGGCCCAATGATGGTAGGCCTTTTTCTCGTGCGCACCAGAGGTCCAGCCTTATTTCAGGTTCTGTGACCTCCACACGGCCGCTGCGGGTTTCGAACCTTGGTCACTTGATCCAAATTTCTTGGGACTATATATAGACGTCAAATTTTTTTATAACGCATATAATATTTTAAGCAATATGGTATCAATTTTTTAAATATACGGAGTACTACATAGTATATATATACAATATGATTTTTAGTTCATTGAATCTAAAACTAAAAAGTAAATACTAATAGTATATCTAATTTAGGAATAATATTTTTTTTGTAATTCTCTTCTATTATAAATATATATATCAGGGTTTCTATTGGAGTAATTTTTTTCATTATTTCATGACTTAGGGCTTAATTCCCCCCCCCCCCCCCCCCCCTCTAGACCTTACTACGTACACTGCCGCCGCCATGCAAACAGCCAACACCACCGCCGCCATGCAAACGGAACCTTCCTCCTCCGCTGCGGTTTCTTCTCCTACGGCGGATTCTACAATCAACTCCATCTCTTCCAGCACCGCGCCGACACTCTCATCCTCAGCCGTTGCACTCGTGTTGGTGGCCAGCGCAGCTCTCGCATCAACGACAGCTTCACCGCTTACATCGTCGTTGTTCTAGACACCCGTGCAGCCGTTCGCCGCAGGAGGGTCAAGGACCTATTCCTTGTTCAAAACTCTATCGACGGCCTTCCCATGGCAGTCGAACGACATGCCCTCATCGTGATGACCATGGGCCCTCCTCCAGGACTTCTAGTCCAGTCTTCTTCGGTTCCACATTTTCCGGTGCAACAGGGGCATCTCGGCTAACGAATCAGATGCTCTTTCAGTCTCCCATGGCAGCATTAATACAATCCATTTCTCCGGTGTCTAAAGTTACTCAGATTGTTACTACGAAAACTCAAGGCGGTGGAAGATTATCTCACCTGGCGCACTCAATTTGAATCCTTTCTGGTATCCCAAGGTCAGTTTGGTTTAGTTGATGGTTCCACGCAGGTACCTCTCATGTACACGGTTGATTTTAATAATCGCCAAATCATTAATATCGATTATTTTCATTGGCTACGGGTTGATCAATCAATTCGTTCATGGTTATTTAATTTATTACGCTTACTCGCGATGTATTAATTAATGTGCATGATGTTAAACATTCTTTTGGAGTTTGGGATCAAGTGCAATTTGCAAACCAGGTTTAGGTACTTCTAGTCTAGCTAGATCTATGAAGCTTAAGCAGTTGTTGTCTCACATTAAAAAGAAAGAAAATCAGTCTATGGAAAATTACTTAAGGGAAATAAAAAAAATTAGTTGATGCTCTCGCTGCAATTAATTCTCCTATGATTGACAAGGAATTACTTCATTCCACTCTTATGGGTTTGGGTCTTGAGTATGAGTGTATTATCGACACTATATTATTATTATTATTTCCTGAGAACTCCTCTCCTCACATCCTTCATCTGAGGCTTCTACAACAGGAACAACTTGTTCTCTTCCTTCGTCAACATGATGCTTCTTCATGTGCCGACTGCTGCACCACGAGGCCGCGGCAGAGGCGGCTTCAGAAGGGGAGGCCGTGGCAGAGGCCATTTTCACCAATAGGGTCAGCCCTAGGGCCATCTACCTCACGGCCAGGGCTATGGACAACAACAAGGACAATCTACACAGCCGAGACCTAGTAATGCGAGTGCTATGTGTATTCTGTTTTGTTCACTTTAAATGCTAATGCTATATCTATTTGTGATACTAACGTTGGCTCTGCAGGCTTCCCATCGGCTAAGGATATTCTTGGTACTATACTCCCACCAGTTGTGTGACAAATCTATTTTTCTCAACCGTCTGGACCTGCTCTTCTCACTCCATGTGGCGAAGGTATTTTAACTAGTAAATCTACTTATTATGGCCAAACTACTGTTAGTTTTGCTAATGGTACTCATCTTCCCCTTAAACATGTTGGTAATATTCACTTAAAAACCTTTGGCCGCCCACCGCTATTGAAATCTTTTTATCATATGCCTAGAATTAATTTTAGTTTAATTTCAATTCAAAAATTGTGTGTTGATAACACATGTATTTCTATTTTTGATAAAAAATCTTTTTTGTTAAGGACAAAACTTCAGGGGTACTTCTTCTACTGGCAACCACTAATGGCTATCTCTATCCTCTCAACCCGAGTCCGCCTACTAGCTTGCTTTGTCCTCTAGCTGTCACCACATCTGGCCCTGTGTGGCATCGTAGATTAGGTTATTGTGGTAAAATATATTATGTATTTTACACACTCAAAAGCATATATGTACGAGTTCATGCCGATTAGGCAAATCTCAACGACTACCTTTTTTAGAAGCTCATCATAATTCTTATGTTCCTTTACATTTAATTCATTCTTATGTGTGAAATTAAAATCTCCTATTCTTTCTAATTTAGATTTTAAATATTACTAGTGTGTACCCGTGCATCGCACAGTAAGATATGTATCGATTTTTTGTTATGAAAACAATACACATGGATATTAAAAAATTCAACAAAACAGTAGGGTAGTGAGTTGCAAGTGAATTCATAAATTGCGCAATGAGATTTATAGAGTTGTGGAAATGAAATTATAAAAATGATTACTAATAATGTTGAAAATTATAATTTAAAAGAGAATGGAGTTGATTGTGTGACAATGCACCTAAAAATTGATTTAGGAGGGAGAAAATAAAATAAAGATGAGACAAAAGCGTAAAAATAGTTCGGGGCCTTTTTTAGGGGGTTTAATAGGTTATCCAGAACATGACCACTTGATTTATGGGCCCTCAAATTTTTTAAAAATTATTAGTATTATATAATAATATTATACTACGTATATTAATACTAATCAGTAAAATACAGTTAGTTAGGAAAGAAAATATAGATCCATCATTTTTTCATTGGTCATTTTAGTTTATTACTCAAATTGCTTGAATAATGATTTGAGTTACTTTAAATCAAGTATTAAGTAAGTTTTAATTTTTTTTATCTATTATATTATTTAATGAGTATTCAAATGATTTAAGTATAAGTATTTGGATTGAGATTTTTTTATATTAATGTGGGGCCTCGATTTTACATTTGGAATCGAGGCCTCTGGACTCATTAGACGGCCCTGGTTGGTTTAGTAGTAATTCTTCATCATCATCATTTACCCTAGTGCCGCAAAGGCTCCCACCTACGATGAGGTAAGGGGGAGTCGGATGTACGCAGTCCTACCACTGTCCTAAAGCACAGAGAGACTGTTTCCGGATGACCCATAGTGAAAATCACGTCCAAAATTACATGGATTGACTGCTGCTTCATAACAAAGAAGCGCAGACAGTTTAGTGAGACATATTGCTTTATTCCATCATATTCTCAAGCCAAAAAATAGTGAATTTTTGGCTTCATTACAAATGATGGAAAATTGGTTTAGTAGTAATTATGAAGTAAAAATGATGTAGTACCAAATATTTATTTTGGTAAAAAAGTAGCATATATTTATTATGAAACAAAGAGAGTCACACAGACCGGAAGGAAATAATAGGAAAAATATCGAGATAGAGGAGTGGTCATCATATTTTAAGTGTCAAAACTTTCTTTTGGTTTTGTTTGGGATTATGATCTCTAATTAGAAAATAGGTCCATGAGCAAAAAATAGGAAACACATCAATAAAAACCAAGTATGGGAGCATCTACAAAATTATGGAAACAGTAGGGGTAATTTGAGTCTGCACCTCATTTATTGTCCAAATTGACTTTGCATCATGTTTTTAAAAAACTTTTTATTTGCACTCCAACCTCATATGAGAAGACAAAAATGTCTCTCTATCAGGAATGTGTTGAAGGCCAACATAATTGTTAATGAAGGCCAACAAAAATGTCCCTCATCAAGAATGACTAATAATTGCATAAATTATATCAAATTTGATTCGAGTAGTACCATAAGTTTGATACATGAGGGGGGTGATAAGTGGGAGTGATTCAGGTATACCAACTTCTACAAATAAAATCCTCAACGTGTGAGAGGTCTTGTGTTCAAGTCATCAAGGTGGTAAATTTGAGAGAATTGTTCGAGCGAATCACATAGATTTTTGATGAATTTTTTAGAGTGTAGAATTAGTTCGACGAACTCGAACACTTGATGTTAACAAAAAAAAAAAGACATGAGAAAGTGGTTGATAAGTTGGAGTGATTCAAGTGGTCCACTTCTCACATTTGAGATCTTCCCCTTGTGGAAGGTCTCGAGTTCACATCACCATGGAGGTGAATTTTAGAGCTTTCTCAAATGGTAATCCTTAACTAACCCCTTAGTGCTAGCTCGAGTCACCACACTAGCAATGTGTTGTCTTGCCTCAAGCAACAATTTAAGAATTAATTAATTTCTTATTGACTACCCAATGATTTTTTATTAATCAAGTCGATAGTTCTCCCTAAAGATGTGTTGAGAACCTGAGTACACACATAATAAATCATTTAAGATCTTCATTTTGTAAAAGGTCTTGAGTTCACTTGACCACAAAGGTAAAATGGATAGAGCTTTCTCAAATGATAATCTCTAATTAGCCTCTTGGGGTTTGAACCCTTCCTATAGAACTTATTGTTTTGTTTTCATTTATAAGGCTTTAAATCAGTTTAAACTGAGTTTAGACAATTCTTGTTTAATTGCTGCTTTGTTTGAAGGATTTGAACCAATTTAGACTAAGCAAATTTTAAATTAAACATATATAATTGATAAACTATTTATAATTACATGTTTGCACATAGTACAAGCTGATTATTTTAAACGTACTTATCCATTTGCAACTTAAATGAATTATACGTCCCTTGGCTTATTTAGTTCAGTTATTTAAATATTAACATAGTTCTAAATAGAATGCAAATTGTGCAATTTGTTAAAATTCAAATTATATAATTATATAAACCACATATATTTTCATTAAACGATAAGTCAAGAAAATATTGGAATAAAAAGAAAACTAACATGATACTCCCTTTCTAGTCAAATTTAGTATGATTCAATCTAATGTGTGACTCGAGTCCAATTAAAATAATCTAAATCTTGAGTCAAAGTCGAAACCAAAAAATCAAACTCACTTACCCACCCGTGTTACACCCCATTCTAAAGAAGCAGTTGTTAAAAGAGGTTAAAGTTTGGTATACGTAGTACTATCTTCGCTCTTAAATAATTGAAACATGTTGAATTTTACACTATTCTCATATTTTTACTTTGACTATATTTTATTCACTAATGTATTGTCGAATTAATTTTTGAAAAACATCATTAAATTTGTCTTTTCATATGTTTTTCAAAATCTGAAATTTTTAATTGTTTTACTAAAAGAAAACTAAATATATTAATGATCAAATTTGTATAATAATAAGCATGTAAAAAGAGAACTGTTGCAATTAAAAAAAATGAAAAAAAAAGTATAACATGAAAATAGTTTGGATTGGAAAGTGCAATTTAGTGATTTACTACTCCGGCCTATTCTCCTAACAAATACGTAGTACTAGTATTGCATAAGACAAAATTTGTGTGGGTGCAGGTCAGAGAACGAGAAACCTGAGAGTAAATCACTTCAATTTGTCTTGTCGGGATAAACATTTTTTGCAATTTGATGGATGAAAGCACTTCCCTCGATCCATTAAAACTAGTTTTTCACCCCGTGCAATGCAGGGGACATCAAATTAAAAAACCACTCATTGTGTCATTCAATTATTTCTACACTGGAATAATATGCTAAATTTCAAGCACATATATCGTATATCAAATTGACACATTTTAAATAGATTTTAATAATGTCTCATATTTTTCAATTTGAATGGCTTTTAATGTTTTTGTTCAGTTGCATAGTAATATGACCAATGTCATCTAATCTCATGAGATTCTTAGGGGTTGTCGTCATTTAGAATTCTAAAGAATTGTTAAAACATTGAGCAATTCAAGGTCCTCATCGGAGAGTTTTATGGAACCCGTCAAAATCTATTGTCCTAAAAATTCCACAATTTTCACTCTTCAAATTTTATAAGAATTTATGTGGATTTGAAAGCTTAAATGTAAAGAAAAGAATTCAACTCAGAATCTCACTATTTCTTCGGATTTTAATGGATTTCAGTCATCCGATTTATTTAAGTTTCTTCATGTTCATCTCTCTATTAACTATTGCCGAGAAGGGAGCCCTTACTTCAACCGATTCGAACACTCAAAAGGCTCTTATAAGGTATCACTATTCCTATTCAGACTCCCTAGGCCCTAGCAACAATGCAAGGTTAAAGCCGGGTGTTGAGAAGCTCCATCAAGCATTCCCTGTCACAACGTGAACATTCCGTGTCTGAAACCGTCGCTCACAACTTCATTCACAGATTGAAGGAGGTTTTGCCACTTTCGATCCTCAGACTATTGTATCAGTGACATTTTTGGTACTCGACTTTTAATTTTTCCATTTTTAGTCCTCGACTATTGTGTTAGAGACACGTTTAATCCTCGACTTCAAAATTTCTCGCATTTAGTCCCCTGAGTATTATAAAATTGACATTTTTAATCCTTCTGTTATGATTTTGACACAATAAATGGAGGACTTAAAATGTCACTATTATAAAAGTTTAAGGACCAAAAGTGTCACTTTTATGAAAGTTGAAGGACTAAATATGGAAATTTTCAAAGACACCATACCAAAAGTGTCTCTAGCAAAATAGTCAAGGATTAAAAATAGAAAAAATCAAAGTCGAGTATAAAAAATGTCAGTGACATAATAGTTGGAGGACTAAAAGTGGTAAAAACTCGATACGAAGGGTATTCAATTGCGTAGAATTTCATTACAATCTCATGGATTCCACACAATTCCATACAATTTCATAAAATCTCAATCCTTAAAAATCTTTTAGAATCCTTTTGTCTCAATAGCCTTAATTAAAGCATATTTGACAACAAAACTATTATAATATCAACACGGGCTTGTACAGAAAATGCTAGGCTTCATGCACTCAAAACTATAATACAAAAATGTCATAGAAACATCAAACTTTTTGACAAACATGAACATCCCATTCAGAAAGGACACACCATAGTAATGCTGTCCCGCAATATCTTAAATGGTGAAAAAGAATGAGATACCCCAAAAATATAGAATCGTGAAAAAGATAAAGTCAATGATTAAATATCCCCAATATACAACACTGAAATTTCTAAGGTTCAGCCTCACTTGAAATGCAAATCAAAATCAAATTTAAATTTACACATGGAATAAAAATAGCAAGTTATAGTGACAGTGACCCAAAAGTAATGAGAGTGGCTTACATGCCCTTGGGACCCGTCAAATCGAATGGCCCCGACATCCCAGTGAACCCGTC